GGGTTGAAGCAGGGAGGGAGGGAGAGTGGAAGAAGGCTGGGGATTGTCTAGTAGGGCCTCAGCTCTGTTACTGTCCCAGGGTCGGCTGGCTAGAGCCGGGGACAGGAATCGGGGTGGTGGAGTGAGCGAATGGGACCAAGGCTGACCACCATTGCTGCTGCTCCAGGGACTGTGGGCGCATTGCCCTTCTCTCTGACCTCCTCAGACTTCAGTTCTGTCCCCGTCTGGACGAATCTGGGTAGCCCTGTCGGGGAAGGGGTTAATTAGCAGCAGTCTGATCCAGAGGACCCTGTGCCGAGGAGCCAGAAGGGAGCCTATGCTGTCTAACTGGGCATGGAGGGCCTGTGTCCAGCAGGCCTCAGGGCCTTTTAAACTCGTAGGGTTCAGAGCTAAGGAGACCTTAAAAATCACCTAGTCTGTCTTCCCTGTTTTTCCACATGAGGAGATTAAGACTGAGACCCAGGAAGTGAGACTTACCTGTAGTCAGACTAAAAAGGCAGGTCCATGTTCTAACCTCAAAGCTGCTTTGCCAGGTGGTGCAGGTTTTATTATTCCCATTTGTAGATAAGGAAACTGAGACCTACAGAGGGGAAGCCACTTAGCCTAGATCATATTAGATAACGGAATTAAGATTCATATTCTTATAATGACCTAATCCAGTGTTCTTTCTACTAGCCCTGGCCCTGGGCAGTGCTCCTGTGGGAGTCTGTGGGATGCCTTTCAATCTTACCCTCTTTTCCTCCACAGCCGCTGGCCAGATGGTGCCAACTGCAACCCAGGGATGCTGCCAAGATGCCAGAGAGTGCCTGGAAATTCCTTTTCTACTCCACGGCCTGGGGTTATAGCGCTTACCTGCTATTTGGCACCAACTACCCCTTTTTCCATGACCCACCTTCTGTCTTCTATGGTAGGGCCAGAGGAGATTTCCTTTTCCCTCTGTAAGGTCACCACCCCTCTGTCACTCCTCAGGGCCCCCATACACACACCCCCACATCCCCACACTGGCATGCACATGCACATACAGCCCTGTACTGAGTGAGTATATAGCAAGAGAAGGAAAGATGGTGCTGTCGTTGGGGGGAAGCCCTAATCTGGGGGGAGAGACACCTGCCCTGGGGGACCCCTTGTATAAGGAGGCAGGACAGCTTCTATTCTCAAGGGTCCCCCCCTGCTCTGAGCGGGGGAGGTAGGAGACACAACAGTAACAAAAGTATTCAGAGGATGCAGCTTAGAGCAGATTTCGCACATGGCATAGCTGGGGAGTTGGGTGAGAGGTAAGTCAGGGAAGGCTGCCTGCAGAAGGCGAGATTTTCCAACAGGAACTGTGAAGGGAACTTCTGTTCTTATCCTGGAAACTGTTGTAGGGGTTATCCCGTCAGTATACAGACAGATCCCTGCTTGTATGTCTCAGGTAGGTGGGGGAGTGGGGACACTTGCAGCTTGTGGCTAGAAGTTATGTGTGACCTTTAGTAAGTCCTTTCCCTTCTCTGTGTCCTGAGGAAACTAAGCAAAATGGGGTGAATCCTGCCTGATGAGCAGTTTTAATAAGACTTGGGTTGTGAAAGAGCTTCAGGAAGCAGGTGTCTGAGAGGTGACTGTTCCTTTGCAGATTGGAAGCCAGGCATGGAGGTGCCCAGGGACATTGCCGTGGCCTACCTGCTGCAGGGCAGCTTCTACGGGCATTCCATCTATGCTACCCTCTACATGGACGCCTGGCGAAAGGACTCAGTGGTGATGCTCTTGCATCATGTTGTTACCCTTATTCTGATCGTCTTCTCCTACGCTTTCAGGTCAGTGTCACTCTCTTCCCTATGGTACCAGCCTCTGCCCTCACTGGGGTCTGTGGTGCTGGAACATTTCAGTCCTCTGGCCTTCGAGTTCAGGTTCCAGCTCTGCCATTGACTGGGTGTGACCTTGGGCACTTGGTCTCATTAAGCCTGAATTCACCCTGATATAAAATGGTTGGGATGGTAGAATTTGAGCAGACAGCTTCTAAAGTCCTAACTCTGACATGCTGTATTCTAAGGGCCCTCCCAGTTCTGACCTTCTCTGTTTTAAGGGCCCTCCCAGCTCTGACACTCTGTGTCCTAAGGGCTCTCCCGGCTCTGACATCCTGGGTTCTAAGGG